CTCACTTGTCTCACTCACTCGCTGGCCCTGGGCTCTGTGTCTATTCAGGATCCGCAGGCCCCGGGAAGTCTCACTCACACACCAGGCCTGGGCTCTGGGTCTATTCAGGATCCAGCGGCCCTGGGTCATCTCACTCAAACTTTTTAAATGAAAGTTTATTATTTCAATTATCATGATGGTTTTATGGCTGTAAATGCTTCAAAACTCAATAAATTGTAGACTTTTAATGTATGTAATTATTGCAGTTACTCTTTTCTCATTGCTGGGACAACTACCTGACACCTAATATGAAGGAAGGAAAGATTTATTTAGCTCACAGTTAGTGGAGGTTTCAGTCCATACTCAGTTGGCTCCAAGGCAGAGTAACACATGGCAGAGAACAACCTTACATGGTGGTAGCAAAGAACAATACAGCAAAGGGAGTAGCAGCAGCTCAGGCAGCTAGCTAGCCTCTCTCCCCTCCTCATATTGTAGTGCAAATAACCTGCCCCAGGGCAGGTGCAACATCCACACCCACAATGATCACAAACACCAGAAGCAGCCTTGTGACTACATGAGGCTTCGGGGGTCACCTATACACAAACCATTGTAGTAGTTTAGTGTATGTCAGTTATAACTAAGTAAAACTTTTATAGAGAGGTAAACATGAAGAAAACTATGCTTCTTCTCAGTAGGACATTGAATAAATTATGATTTCATCACATGATGGGCTTCTATGCAGCCAGGAAAAAAATGAATTCAATAGCTCTGCATGTGTCAAAACACTGACTTAAGAAGTTGCCAAAGGAAAGTACATTATGATGTAGATTTAAAATTTATATGCACACATTACTTAATATATGGATATCATAAATTTAGAGGTGGAATGGTGTGTACTGACTTCAACACTCTGATTCACAAGGAACAGGAAGGACAAAGGGATGGAGCAGGTATGCTGCAGCTCAGAGGCTGGGGGAAAAGCCAACACTTTAGCATCTGTTAAATCTGGGTAGTGCTACATGGACATCTGTTCTGTTATTTTCTGTACTTCATTGTGTGCTTGAACTATTTCATAATTTAAAAAAGTTTAAGTAATTATGCATCCCACACTCAGTGCATGGTTTTTCTTGCCAGCGACACCTGCTGTTACCAGTCACTTGCCTGTTCTCCTGGGGATATTCTAAGTACATACATAAGTCCTGATGTGAGTGTACATATGTATTATGTATGTAAAGTTTCATATATTTTTTAAAAATTGTAAAAGTGAACTAGAGTATTTCTTTTTAGACAAGACAATTTGGAGCCTACTACATACACTGTTTTCTCACACAATAAAACTTTGGAAATTGTCCCAGCTCAGTACAACTAGCATTTTCTCATTCTTTGTAATGCTGCTTAGCATTCTCCCAAATGAATATGTAGGCTGCTTCCCATCTTCTGCCATGACAATCAGGCATTCTGTACAGCTGTCTGAGTAGACAACATGTTCTTCAATGCAGACCAAGCCATACCTACCACATTCAGTCTTGACTTAAATACTTAATGTCTGAAGTGCAAACAGCAATTAAAACACTGGGCTGCAAAAGAGGAATGTGTTCCTGAAGCAGGTGCGGGTGTTTGCCTTTTAACTGAGCAATACCAGGGCAACTCTCTGCTGAGCACTCTTCCCGCATCTCCTTTTCTGTATCCTTATCCCCTCTTTGATACTGGATTTCTGGCCCTCATTTTTCTAACTGTTGCAGAGCTCTCTCTCCTGCCACTTTGTTGTTCCTAAGATGTTTTAGAAGCCAAAGAATCAAGACTGCTTGGATTGTGATGAAAGCAAGGGGAAACTTTTTCCAGCTGAAGAAATTCGTCATCTCTGAGCATCAAGGGTAGGGCTGTGTGCATCGCCTTCGTGCATGGTGAAAGCCAGCTGCTCTCTGTTCTGGGAGGGGAGGTCACAGGAGAGCTGCTTTATCCATTCTCTTGGTGGGGCTGGGGAGCAGGCTGGCACCACAGAGACACAATTAGGGAACCTACAAGGGATGGAAGTGCTGTCCTGCTGAGTGACCAGCTATGGGGAAAGTCAGCATTCGTCTTGGCTCTGACTGCTTTTTGTGACTCTTCTGAACAATTCTCAGTGTTCCAACAAGAGCGGAAGAAAAAAAAAAAAAACATTCCTCTAGGTCAGGGATCCAGAGAACAATAGGACAGTGCAGTGCGAGAAGTGTATTTCCTTTGTCTTAGCTTAAAATTGTGCCTTCCATTTAATTTTTTTATATTATGAAATGAACTTAGTAAGATTATAGAAAATTGCTCATCTGGAATGCTTGAATTGTACTGTCGCTGCTAATATAACAATATTAAATATTTATAGCACTTAAAGGATTTTCTTACCAGAGGCAGGATAGCCTAGTGGTTCAGAGTACTGCCTCTGGAGCACACCATCTAGGTTTAAAGTTTAGCTGCACCATGCTCTGTGCTGCAAGAAAAGCTTGCATAACTTCTCTGTGCCTTGGTTTACCTATCCACGAAATGGAGGTCATTTCAGCCTAGTACTTTGCAGGGTGATAGAAGATTAAGTAAAACAATAAGTGTGAAAGTTTAAAGTCAGATTGCTTCCTGACACACATGTGCAGAGTGCTGGTAAGTGTGAATTATTATTATTATCATCATCATTAATTACTGTAGTTACAAGAAAGAGTGGGACTGAATGGACAGACTTAGTCATCTGATCAGTTGCTAGATTCAGGGCTTGTCAATAAGTTTCCTTGAACATGAAAGAGGAACCACATTAGGCAAACAGAGGAATGATGGTATTTGAACCCATTGGGCAGGTTAAGTCTTACAAACACTCACCACTAGGTGCTAATGTGGCAGTCAAGGCCACAATAGATGGGTGTGACACCATGTGGCCCAAGGCCTGGAGTGGTAATGATGAAGCCAGTGATGTCCTGGAACTTGTTGAACCAAAGACATGTTGCAACCCTTGTTTAACCATTGCTTAATAAGTATATAATCAAGTATGCATTATTAAAACAATGTTGACAAGTATTTGACATTTATCACATTCTAATTAATTTAGTATATTTACCATTATCTGGATTCTGAAGGTTATTTTTATCTCTTGTATTTGTCAAGCGGAAACACAGGTTTTTTTTTTTTTTTCAGGGGAGTGGTACTGGGCATTGAACCGATGGCCTGTGTACTGAGTTACATTCACAGCCCTCTTTTTATTTTGTACTTTGACACAAGATCTTGCTAAGCCACTGAGTTACCAAAGCTTTGCTCTAACTTGTGATCCTCCTGCTTCAATCTCCTAAAGTGCTAGGAATTCATGCAAACACCACTACACCCAGCTGGAAACATTTGAAAACACTGAGCCACAGAACATCTCTCCCCAAATCCCTGTTCCCTTACATCACAATTATCTCTCCCTTGCACTTGGCCATGGTGGGATTATTGACACCACAGAAATTGGCAAATACTGCAAACCAGGACTTAGTTTGTTTTGTACACTTAAGACACTGATAGACAAAATGGTAATGATGGAGAATAAACTCAAAAGCATTCTAAAGTCTATAGCTGATACAATTGTGAAGAGGGCTAAAAAGTTATTTCATTGCTTGGATGTAAGGCACTCACATCTTTGATAATGAATGAAGTTCCAGTAATCATTTCCTTTCTACTTGGTAACGCTCCTGTCAGAACTGCAGTGAACTGCTGGATGAAGACTGGACTTGGGAGGCATTCACTGGTTCAGCAGAGCATGAACTCCAGAGGCTAGCTTTAAAAAGATGTGTAGAGGCCTCTCTGACACATAGCAGGGCAGCACGAACTTCTGTCCTTACGTTCGAGGCACACAAGTGCTTTAAGAGGTAGAGAACAGCTGCCTGAGCAGTGAGCCTGGCAAAGCTGGCAAAACTATGCGAAGAGGAGGGACAACGAGTGCTCCTCTTCCAGAGGAGCTGAGGAAAAAGTGTTCCAGGGGCCCCTCCAGGAAGTAGCACCAGGTAATAGCACCACAATGGCTGCCAGATCTGGAAGAGCAGGGACTGAAGGGGGGACTGAGGAAAGTATCCAGAGTGGGAAAATAATGATCCACAGCAGGGCTGCCTGATGCCCACATTTGCTGGGTCAAGGCCTGGATGATGCAGACAGAAAGGAAAAGTACTAGGTTCACTTTACCTGTTCCAGACCATGGCTTACAGCATATACCTGCAAATAGTAGATTCAGCTCCTTACTTTTTGTGGACTTCGCATCCAAATGTGGGAAGGCCCAGGTGGCGTCACAGAAGGTGGAGCACGGTTATCACTATTTATTGAATAACCACCTAGCTGTGCCTCTCCTCCCATTTCTTTTATTGGAATGACTTGGACACTCTCAAAAGGAAGCATTTTCAGTTAATGTATTGGGTGTTTTCACAAGGAGACAGACCCTGTTCTGAGAGAGGGCTAAGGAGGGAGTGACTGGCAAGAAGAAGGTATCTGCAGGGAGCCTTTGCTCATAGAGCAATACCCTGGGCCCAGCTCCACTGGAGCGCAGTAGGAACTCCTGGTGAAGGGCAAGATCTGTGGGGACTCTGATAGTTGGATGGTGCCACATAGTGGTGAACTTGGGCCATCATGTGCTTCTTCCTTCACCTGTTTCCCCATCTTTGACACATGAGAGGTAGATGAAGCAATCCCTAGAGACCCTTCCAGGGCCGGAAGTTTCTGTGTCCACCAGATCTCTGTCATCAGGTGCTACCCTGCTCTGTGCTCAACATGAACACCTGGCCCCCAAGGAATTTTACCAATCAGAGAGAATCAAGAAGAGAAAGGGTGCAGAACAGGGCAGAGATTCTGGGTGCCAGAGAAGTAGAGCAGAGGTGTGAGGAGGAGGAAGCAGGGGAGAGGTGAGCAGAGATGTGAGGAAGGAAGGGTGCCATGCTGTGCTGCGAAGGAGGCCAGAGAGCCAGGCACTGAGTACTCTGCTCAAGCTCTAGGTCAGATGACAGCCATATGATCCCCTGCACCCCACACCCCTGGCCCCTTACCCTGCAGCATTGCTGATGTGGTGTAGTAGTTGAAAGGCACATTTTTTACCAGGTACTCCTCAGGATCGAGGCTGGCCAGCTTGGCTGTCACCAGCACTGACTTTCCTGTGCCAGCGGTGCCCACCAGCATGATGGGTCGCTGCCGCTTCATGAGCCGCTCCAGGAAGTAGCAAACTCGAATGGTCTCACTCGTGTGCACCAAGCATGCCTGGAAAAGGAACACGAAGAGCCATAAGGGAGAAATAACTACAGGGCATGATGTTGTAGAGCACTGCATAAAATGGACTGGAGTTCATTTCCTAATCTGACCGCAGGTCTGGCTTATAAACTAATTCTGGGGCCCTGTAGTTGAATAGAAAGCTCCCTGCTCTCCTTACCCCTGTCTGCCTCCCTGTGGTATCTCCAATGTATTGTAACATCTTTTGTCATCTCCTCCCCTCCAATTCAGTGGAAGATGCTGATTGGTTCTAGTATTTGCTTACTATCTCTTAGGGGAAATTGTAACTTCATTACACCTGTGATTTGCAAAGGTAGCTGGGGTCAACTGGTTCCTAACAAGGACAAACACTCTGGTGTCATGTGGGATGGCCACTGAGAGATTGCTGGGGGTGGGGCTGCACATCCTTGGCTGCTCCCTCTCTTACCTGCAAAGGAGTTTCAGGGTCAAATTCAAACTGGGGGATGAGCTTGGACCAAGGCTCGAATTTCTTGGTTTCTGGTTCTATGTAGTAGTCAAAGACAGTTCCCTGGGAAGGAAACTTCACTGTCTTGAACTCAGTCAGCCACCATTTGCTGAACTCTGCCTGGTAGTCCACAAGCTGTGAAAGTAAAGTAAGTCAGGGAACCACATTGTTCAGAGCTCAAGAAGTCCATGCAGATGGCCCTGGCATGGACAGAAGAATGGAGCAGGACACAAAGAGCCCCTGCCAGTGCAGGCTTGCTGCATGGGCCAGCACTCCAGGGAGAAACTTTCCTCAGGACAGGTCCTCAGGAGGGTTTCTGCATCTGTCCAGGGGCTGCCTTGGGCAGCTGGTGCTCCGGAGCCCTGTTGTGGCTCATGTGTTGGAAACTTAATCCCTAAACTCATGAATGAAAGGCCTTTGGACAGAGAGGGCTTCCAGAGCAGGGGTAATTGGGATCAAATGAGGTCATGAAGGTGCGGCTGCATGGTGCAATTGCTGGGTTTGTCAGAGGAAAGGAACCCAAGCTAGTGCACTTGCTTTACCTCATTGTGTGACACGTTCTACCATATTGTGCTGCAGGGAGAGAACACTCGGCCAGAGGCTGACAGGACAACAGTGCCCTGCTCTTGGACTTCACCCTCCAGAACTGTAAGATAAATTATCTTTATTCTTTGTAAGTTAATTAATCTGGCCACTCAGTTAGAGCAATAGAAAACTGACTACAATAAACATGTCTTGTATTCATCAAAAGTTGGAGAAGTTTGAGGGAGAAAGGATGCAAGAATGCTTGGAGAATGGCAGATGAAGGGGAAGTAGGCGTGACGCACTCCTGAAGAAACAGACCGGCCCCCATCCTCCTCGACATCTGAAGCAGATTAATTTCCAGAATAGCTGTCAGAGGGGGTTGCTGAGATGGAGGGATGTACTACAGAGGAGCCCGAGAGCCGCAGGAATAGAACCAGGCATGTAGCCACAGGCCAATCCCTTCTCACACCGAGTGTCTTTATCTGTAAAAGGAGGGTCTTAGGAAAGAAGATTCTTAAGGTTATTTCAAGAAGCAAGATTCTAAAACCTAAGAGCAGCAAAGTGGACACAGCTGTATTAGTCTATCTTATAGGAGTAAATAGAGACGTGGAATCCACATATTTTCACAGCGATCATAAGCTCTTTAAAGATAGGCCTTAGGAAGGGCTGGCCAGTCAGCTCAGCAGACTAAAGCACCTGCTTAAGCAGGTGCAGGGACCAGGGTTTGATCCCCAGCATGCCCTGTCAGTCCTGCCCCCAGGGCATACTGAGACAGCAATTGAGACTGGGTGTGGTGGCACACACCTGTAATCCCAGTGCTTGGGAGGCTGAAAACAGGAGGATCACTACGAGACTGATCTGTGTATTGAGACCCTGTAGGCCCTGCACTAAATACATAAAAGAAAAAGAGATGAGCCTTAGAACTCAGTGTGCTCAAATTGCTCTTCTATGTTCAAGCTGAAACACACACACACACACACACAAACACACACACACACACACACACACACACACACACACCTTGCTGCAATGGGCAGCCCTACTCATCTTTTGAACACAGAGACATAAGCAATATCCTAAATCATACAGAGGCTCAGGTTGGGCCTTGTAGGGACTCCCCAAGAGAGCAGGGTGAAGGCAGAGCTCTAAGGCTAGATGGATGATGGAACCGGGTGCTGGAAACCAATCTGGACCCTGAGGAAAGGGTGTTTCTCGGTGTGCTGTCTAATCAGTAGGCAGGATTGAATTCTTTGCTTTAAAATGAGAATGGAAATAGATCTTAAGATAAGGTCAGGTTTATTTGCTGTTCCAATTCTCATTTGAATTCAGATTAAGGAGACATTGTAGCTTCCCAGTATTGTTCTTTTTAATTACAAACCTAAGGGAAACCTCCTTTTTAACTCATGCAGATGAGTCTTGAAGATTTTTAACTTTCTCTGAAGACCAGATTTGAGGCTTATGTGAAAACTCAGAGAAAACAGCAGCTTCTACCAAGAATGTGGTTTGGATTTTACCCTTTCTGCATCCCTGCTTCTATTTCATACCACTTGGTCAGTTTCTCAACCAAGCCGTTGGCTGGGGTACACTAATGCTGTTTCGCCCATTTGCACTTGGGCATTGACCTCAGCTTTTGCTATAATTGGACACTGTGGAGACAGGTGATGTCTGCTGAGCCCATCCTTTCTTAAGTTAGCTCTGTGGATCTATTTTCAGCAGAGGTTCCTAAGGAATAGGGCCTCATATGGCCCCTCCAAAATCCCCATCACCTTTGGAGTTACACGACTCTGTTCCTCCTCTGCCCTTTAACCTGGGTAACTGTTGTACTAGAGAACATTCTGGGGCTAAAAAGAAAGGAAAGTTGAACTCACCTTTTTAGCCTCCCAATCTGATGCTCTCATTACTATATCAATGAACAGATGATCATTTTCTGTGATTGTTGTGAAGTACTTGGCCAGGAGAATGCTTTATTTTGTTTCATTTATTTCAACCAGAACTTTCCTTGGGTTTAGTCTCTATTTTGTATGTTTGTATTTCCTTAACGACAGCTTTTAAAAAGTAAGCACTACTGGTGTTGCTGATACAAATATTTTGGCCCAATTCCTATTTTCTAACTGTAGCACTATTTTTGGTATTTAGCATTAATTTGGGCTATGCCAGAGTCTCGGACATGCCCTGCTGCTAAAAGCTTTCTCCTGTGTCCTCTCTGTGTTCCCACCTGGCTACCTACAGTGTCAAGTGTTCCAGTGCCCAGGAGACCAGGAGTGAGTGATTTCCCTTGAGCTTTTAAAGAGTGAGTGGATTTAAAATTTTCTATATAGAGATTGAAAAATTGACTAAGTATCTTCATTCTGATATGCCCATTGCCTGTTTGGTACCAACTTGGTACTGAAGCCAAGAGGTTGCTGCCTGGCATTTCATCAGCTGAAAGGTCAGAGACTGCATTTGATGGAAAGCATTGGTCTGTGCATTGGGGAACTCAGTGCTTTTCAGCCAACTGTTGTCCATCCTGCTGCACTCTTTGCTTACTTGCCTGGAAGGCGGGATGTGAAGCTGTCAAAGGAGCAGTTCACAGAGAAGCTCTGAGGACCTCAGAGCAGACAGCACAGCATTCTCAGATATCAGATTCTTGGCCCGTGCATCCTACTGCCTGCGGGGTTTCCTTTCCTGCCCCCAGAGCATCTGGTTCTGGATAGGGAGAGGCAGAAGGACACACTTCTGGGAATTCTCCGAGAGCTGTTTTCTGAATTCTAGGCAGACGTGAGGGAGAGACAAAGCCAGGGTGGATGCTTGGACAGGAACATGTGAAGATGAAAGATCACTGTGTTGCAAGGAGGCTGAAACTTATAATCAACTCAGAGCAGGAAAGGTAAATCATGACTTTCCAAAAACTGGAGCTTTGTCTGGTCCCCTGTCATGAAAGAGGCATCAGGTACTTGCTATAAAACCAAATGTTTATGCTGAGGTAAAATTAATAATAAGCGTATATGCATGCCAGCACAATTATAAGTGCTTTGCGCACCCCCACAGTGGGTGATGAGAACAGCGAGCGCTCATCTCATTCTCGCCACCGACTCAGCACCTGGGTGCCACTGTCATTGTCTTCTGGACACATGGGTATAGTAGAGCAGAGAAAGGTGAAATGTCTTACTCATGATCTCTTGGGTAATAATGGAAGAGGCATAATTCAAATCCACAGCTATTGTTGTTACTATTTTTTTTTTAAATTTTCTCAGTTGCTTTTTGGAAACCACTTTATTATAGTATGGTTAATATGTAAAAATGTGTATACGTTTAATATTCAAAACTTGAGGAAGTGGATAAGTATACATTGATAAAAGCACTATCACAATGATGTACAAACCTGAACACCCCTACCTTTCCTCTGCTTTATTATTACTGTTATTATTGCTCTTGTTTGGAAAGAAGACTATCCTGCCATCTGTGACAACATGAGTGAATCTGATGGTCATTAAATTATGTGAAGTAAGCCAGACACAGAAGCACAAATACTACATGATACCATGTGTACAATGGATCTAAAGTACCCAAACTCTTAAAGGGGTGCAGTGGAATACGACTGCTAAGTTGGGGAGGAGTGGGAAAGGGCAGCTATTGGCCAAAGGGTCTTGAGTGCAACACATCTCCTTACCTGATCTTGGACCACTGCTCCACCAAAGGCCCAGATGGCAGCAAACACAAAATAAAGCTCATAGATCTCCTTGGGGCAGTCTGCAGGGATGTCCTTCTTGGTCAGGAGACACTCAAGGAGCTGGCACAGCATCTGAACCATGCTTTGCTCTGGGACTGGGATGATCTTCTTAAATCTGCAAAGAGGGAGAAGAGCATGCTGTAAAACCCCCGTGACTATTCCACTGGCCAGCTACAGAGCTCCTGGGTCTCAGTGGAGCTGGTTTGTCAAGGTCTCCTAGTATAGTTTAAACCTTTTTTCTCATCAGGTGTTTTTCAGGTGGTTTCCTTTGTGAGGACCTGTGGGCTGGCGCTCTCCTAGGGAAGTTCCTTCTCTCACCTTCCCTCCCTCTGATGCTCCATCCCTTCTCTTTTTGCATGGACAATATGCTCCCAGTCCCTGAAACTGCAGGAGGCCTCAACAAAATAAGTCAATGCCTTACCTTTTCATTCTTCCTACAATTTCTCCAACTGACCCAAAACAACTAAAGAGTCATTTTGGGTGAAATCATAAGGTTTATCCTTTTATTCCTTTGCCTCAGAGTTTTCTTTTTTCTCCCAGATGAATGGTGCACATGTTTCTGGAATGGGAGTCCTATCTAGGCTGCAGGAGGAAGGGGCCTGGGTGATGCTTTTACACAACTATGGGCAGAACACAATTCTGCATTAAAAACATGGAAGGGAAATCTGTGTTGCAAATGGACCTCTGTGATGTTTTCTGGTGTGGTGTTTGCACTATTTATTTATTTATTGTATTTAGTACAGGGTCTACAGGGTCTCACTGCACAGATCAGACTCATAGTGATCCTGTTTACAGCTTCCCAAGCCCTGGGATTACAGGTACACGCCACCATGCCTAGTCTCAATCCCCATCTCAGTGTGACTTGGGGGCAGGGCTGGCACAGCAGACCCAGGGATTGAACTCCCAGCCCCTGTGTCTGCCTAAGCAGGTGATTTAATCCACTGAGCTATTTGGCCAGACTTGGTGTTTGTACTTTAATTCTTGGCCTTAAATATCTCAGTTGAAAGGCAGATGCCAAGCAATTCCAAAAGACATCTTGTGGCCAAGAAACTAGGAGTGTCAACATATGCACACACACACACACACACACACACACACACACACACACACTTGCACAAACACACAAACTTTTCTCTCCCTAGTTTTCTGTCCCTTCTAGGTGCATACACACCACACATTGCCACATTCATTCAAACCACCACCTGACACAGGATGATGTGTCACAGGCTACATGGAGCTGCAATCTGCTGTCATAACAAGAGCAATGCCATCAACAGCCATCCTAGATGTCATTTCCATCTTTGGATCTTGCGGTGCAAAGGGTGCTATTCCCCTCATTGCTATGTATTTGTGCCTGCATTTAATCTGACTGTGATCCTTACAGCAATGTTTAGGGACACTCTAAAGTAGCCTAGGTATCACTCTGATGAGTAAAGAGAGACATGAGCTTTCGTGGCTCTTCATTTATTTGAGGCATCCTGTGACAGAATGACACAATGGTATCACCTCAGGTGCAGTGTTGACTGAGGCACCAAGACAATGTTGCCAATGACTCTCATTCCAAAACAAATTTATAGACAAGCTTGTGCAACCTTGGCCCCACGTGCCCCCAGTGATCTTAAGGATGGAAGGGAGAGGAGCTGGAAAGAAGCAAACAGGATTTGGGGGTGCTCCCTTGGAGTGCTATGAGGGCTTCTTCTCCACAGGCAAGGGAGGGCTGACTCCTGAGAGGTAGAGAAGGCAGCTTCAGTCAGACTACTTGGAGGCTGTGAAGGACCTGTACCTGGGAAACCCCAAGAAACCTGACAGTTCTCACAGTGGAGTATAGAGAGGTTTCTTGCTGGAGAAGCCTGAGTCACTTGTCAAAGCTGTAAGAGGGTCAGTGTTTCCTGGCATCCCTGGGCAGGTGGAAGGCATTGTGTGAGGGGCAGCACGTCACTGACTGAAGGACAGACACTGCCAGGGCAAGGGCAGGACCTTCAGGAATGAGCTCAATTTCTTTAATCTTTCCCTGGAGACTGACACAATTCCTTGTACACATGTGGGTATGTGCATGTGTGTGATTAGGAGTGAGTAGATGGCTTTTTATTTTTGAGAAATGATCAGAAAACTTGTGGACACTGACCTGGGTTTTATCCAGAGGCAGGAAGAGAAACAGCTACATAAAATGGTTTTGGAAGGACCTCAGGAAACAAAGTGGATTTACAATCACACCATGCTCAGTAAAATATCAATATGTGTTAGAATTGTACAGCTTTCTAGTACCAGAGCTCCACAAAGCCAGCATTAAGGAAGCACCTCTCTTACTAGCTAACATGATGCATGGGAACATTTGGAATCTTGCTTTCTCATCTTTGTGAAGGACGGCCTCTCGGGATGGCTGGGAGAAGGAAATGGAAGAACACTTGAGTAGGTGCCTGGCAAGGACAGCTATTATTGTTGATTTTATTCTCCCTCTTTGGTAGCTAGAGTTTGGTGATAAAGAGGAATTGGCTGTCCAGAAATGGACCTGAAAGTCAGGATCTTTAAAGCTTGTTTCAAAGGATTCTCATGCACTGATATATAAATGCATAAAGAGTTTGGCATTTCATATTCTAAAGTTCCAGAGGAGGAAGTAACCTGAGGTTTAGTCGATGGATATATCAGATAAGCATCCCAGCAAAAGATAAAAAAGAGGGGTAAGCTATATTCCTAAAACCTCACTCTTCTCTGGCTTTTTAACTTAGTGTCACATTTACCCATTTATGACTCTAATCATGTCACTATTTTCCAGACTTTGATGGTGACCAGGATTGCATTAGACCATGAAGCCACAGAACCCATAGACCACTAGAGGCTGAAAGCTCATCAAATCTCATGGAAACATTGACATTTGGAAAAATAACTATTGATGTTGAAATATAAAAACTATAGAGTACAAGAAATAACCACTAGGAAGAATGTAAAAAAAACCCTATAGAATCAAGATCAATATTTCGTTGAATAGCCAAGGAGATGGCTCAGTGGAATAAGC